TGTGTGTGTGTGTGTGTGTGTGTGTGTGTGTGTGTGTGTGTGTGTGTCTGACACTGAGCTCCTCAGTGCAGATGCCTCTCAGGATGCGGACTCCCCAGTGCAGTTCAGGCAGTCAGGAGATGAGCTCGGCCAGAAGCAGGAGGCTTCCACCTGGACAGATGTGGACACAGTACTAAGTTTCCTGGGCAGAACCCAGGCTCAAAACTTCCTCCCTGGGACTGGAGCGACATAACTCGTTCCCAGGCTGACCCTCAGCTGAAGATCCTACTGCCCCAGCCCAAGTGCTGAAATGACAGGACTGAGCCACTATACCAGAGGCTGTTTTTCTGATTCTTTTTTTATTTTATTTTTTTTCCCGAGGCAGGGTTTCTCTGTGTAGCCTTGGCTATGCTGGACTCGCTTTGTGAGCCAGGCTGGCCTGGAACTCACAGAGATCTACTTGCCTTTGCCTCCCCAAGCTCTGAGATTACAGGCGTGCACTACCGTACCTGGCTTGTTTTTCTGATTCTTGTATGAGGTGGCTTCTCTGTGTTCCCAAAGCCCTGCCCTGCCAGTTAGCCATAGGAGAGGCAGAAGGAAATACGGACAAGCCCTTTCATATAGTTTCACGGTAACTCCGGCTACTTTTACAGCCACCTGTGAGTCACGCTTGTAAAAGCCTTCCCTTCAAGCACAGAGCCCTCCCTACCAAGATGCAGGCGCCATGGCAAGTTCTGGAATTTTGCTGCAGCCCTTGCAGGTACCAGTGACGTCATCATCTAAGTTCCAAAACCCGAGTCAACGTGTTCCACAGGGCAGTCTTGGTGAATAGCAGTGCCACCTTGCTGATTCTGTATCCACATGTCACAGAGTGCTCTTCTGGGCCTCTAAGTCAGGGGCTGCTTTGTGGGTGAAGGGAAATGCCCTCACCCAGCACAGCACACCTGAGCTTCGGTTGCCATTGTTCATCAGGATAAAATTTTGCTAAAAACAAACAAACAAAAAATACAAGAGCCAGAATACTGTTTTGTTAGTTGTCATTTTTATACTGAGACATAAGACTATTTTAAGATGTTTTCCCCCAAAGGTATCATTATAATAATAATAATAATTATTATTATTACTACCATTATTAGGACGAGTATTAGTGAGCTAAAACTGAAGATGCCAGGGGATGGTCTCCCCAGAAGGCATCCCAGATAAGGTAGTGTTCCCTCTCTGCTTTGTTATGCCACATACTCCAGAGAGGCTCAGTGCTGGAGATCTCCGAGTCTCAAAGAGTAGATCCAGGTACCAGTCCCCTCTGTGTAGTTTTTAGTCTAAAAATAACTAAAGACATTTATAGAGAGAAGCAAAGCCTGCTTTTCTGGGAAAATGAGATTCATGCTGTTCCTGTTTTGTGGGCAGCCACAGCTGAGATGTGGGTGCAATCTGGGATCTCAACCAGTGCTCACCCAGCTGGGGTGGGAGTGCTGCTGGCCGGGGGAGCTGCCTTCCTGCACAGACTGTGAGCCTGTGGCCGGGCCTGGGCAGAGCAGTGTGGAGAGCACCGGGAGCCATGAGGAAGGAAGCTCTGGGGCTGAGGCATCACAGTTGCTGCAGGACTAAGTGAGAAGGCTCATAGGCCAGGGTGTCCTGTGTTTGGGGTCTGTAACCTGGCAGCCGGGGCAGAATGCCTGCCAGATGATGCTTCCGCCTCCCACCAAACATGAAGGAAGTTCCCAGTGCTGGCTGTCACATAGTGGAGTACAAAATATCTTTTCTTCACCAGATGTAATTGTCATCTTGAAAGCTTACTGCTGAATATGCTCACCCTTTCTAGTCCTTTCTGAACTGTGGCTGACTGATTCAACTCAACTGTTCTGTCTCAAACTACCCCCTAAGCTGACTGATTCAAAGTGGCTTCCTTCTCTCGGCTTTTCACTGAATTGCTCTGCTTGGCCTCAAACTACCTCTGGAAATTTACTCCAATCTTCTCACTCCTTCTTATTCCCTGGTTTCAACTGCCTTTGCTGACCTGTGTTTTGAGAACTGCACAAACTAAACGGGACTGACTCAGTTGAACTGAACTCCACCGCATTGCCTGAACTCAGCTGAACTGCACTCACTGAACTTCCCTTCACCCTGACTCACTCTGCCCTGCTCTGAAGTAGCTTCTCTTTCCTGTCTGTTCTTGTGAGTTCAGCATATCCCATCTGACTTATTCTGTCAAATCTTTTTCTGATTCATCACTTTGTCCGTCCCTCAATTAGACATCACTTTCAAACATGGCTACTTCCTTCCAGAAACTAACTTTCCTTCCTTGTTTGGTATTAAAGGTGTGTACTAAGGATGAGTCTGTATGCCAGCCAGAGGGATTAAAGGTGTGTCATTGCAGCCAGATCACATAAACCTAGAAGGTCTTCAGGTGTGATCCTTTGTCAGAGCAGCCTTTTTGTTGGATTAAAATTCCTCTACAGTGGAGGAACTGTATTCCCCACATTATTTCTGTGTCTGTGTATACATGTGTGTATGTGCACACGAGAGGAAGTGCTCACAGAGGCCAGAAGAGGGTGTCAGATCCCCTGCAGCTGGAGTAAAGGGCCCCTGTGGGTGCTTGAGGCTAAACTTGAGTTTTCTGCAAGAGTGGTATGCGATCTTAATCCCTGAGCATCTGTCCAGCCCCCTGTCATCTTTTCTCTTTTCCAGCTCCATGTAGTTTTTCCTCTTGCCTTTTATTCTTCATTTGTTCGTGTGTGTGTGTGTGTGTGTGTGTGTGTGTGTGTGTGTGTGTGTGTG